GATCAGACTTGACTTGAGTGTGATGTAGTAGGCATAAACGGGTAACGGGGTAAACTTGAATGAGTTTATATTCCGTATGTTGGAACCTATCTCCTGACTCTCCATCTATGTGGTGGCCAATGGTTTAAGGCGGCCCAAGTAGATGGTTGTCAGGATACAGGTTACACCGTACCGCAAAGTATAGCAAGAATCATTTTTTTTTCAATGCTCAAATAGTTTGAATCTATTTTTAAAAATTACATTTCGTTATTCCACACAGATGAAAATTCCTCTGTAGAAAACATTTATTTTTGTAAAAAATTTGTGAAATTTGAAAAAGATTTCTCTTAGTCTACTTTAAATTACTAGTATGTCTACTTTTACTTGTAACTGGCTCAGAAACCATCAAGGGCACAATATCTTATTCCTACTTGTCCTAAACTAGAAGAAACGTGTGGTCCAAAATAGTTGGTGGCGTATATGTTCAAATGAGCCCAAATACTGCCGGAGCCAAACAAATTTGCAGATATTTTGAGCGTCAAAAAGTTTTTTTAGTCTTTAATTGATTGATTCCCAAAAGATATTGAGGTACCATACCTTTTTTCCGATAAAATAAGTCACTACATTAAAATGTAAATCCAATTAGACCATTCGATAAGGCTTGGGTGGTTACAACAAAATATATGCGTGGAGCTCACACAACCTAAATAAAACAATTAGATGTTGCTAAACATTGTAAAATTTGGCAGAAGCTGAACCTGATTTTTTTAATAAGACTTTTCTTAATGCTCTGGCAGTACTATCAGAACAGCCATGGAGTTGTCTTTTACGAGGGCCGTCTGTATAAGGTTGCATTGAGCTATCATTGCAGTAAAGCAAGCTAGTTCAGATTTGAGACCACCATAGTGTTCTTTATTTCATCCTCAACTACCTATTATATTGTCAGTTTCCACCCCTATAGTAGAATTAGTCCTGTCATAGTAACAAAAATGATGTACCGTAAAGGAAAATTGACAGTGTCAGTTTACACTCCCGCAATAAGTATATGAATTGCACCTTGAGATTAGATTTTTTTGTGTCAACTGTTATTTAAGTTCATTGCCAGCAGATGGAGGTGAGTGTTGTTTGTGAAGATGTGTGTAAGGAGTGGAGGGAGTTTGGAGGTGGTCGTAAACATTGGCACAATGTACATTGCCGCAGAGTCATTCATCAGTCTCCTCTGTTGCATTGATCTTGATCTAGGGTAATAAACACCAATCCCAGTGTACTGGATTTCCAAACTAAAAGGGAACATTTCTATCAGAGCCTGCCAAAACTCACAAACATAGTAGTAGTCTAGAACATTTCAATCAGCAAGCAAAATTTATCAACTTAAATGACTGTCTTGACGAAAACTGACCAACATCTGCTGCTGACCAATGTGCAAATGTGTATGTCCTTCTGTGAATATCCCAAGCCACTTGTGCACAATTTCTTCATCTAAACACCTTCTGCAGACAACTGGCATTTTAGCAACTGGGATTTAGTTAGGGGTTGACTCCTGTCCCACAAACTCAATCACAGAACGTGATTCATACCTAGCAGGAGCATCAATTTTTCCCTTAAGGTCCAATTCCTATGTGGCGACTGAAATGACTCTAGTCGCGAGACGCTTGTCTTAGTTCCTATGTCGCGACTCCTGCGATTCCCACGACTAGTGACTAGTGCATTTGCACTCTTGACCGTCATGGAATAAGCATAGTTGGCAGTGAATATATTACTTGGAGAAGAGGAGGAAAAGGAAATATTAATGTGCATGGTAAAAAACAATGAACAACCTAATCCATTGTTCATGGTACGGCGAAAAGAGGGGTTTCAGAGTATTCTCATTCAGAGACATCTTCTTCAAGTATTGAGGGTGCTTGGGGTTGAAAACGTATGGGTGGTGACGAACCAGTTCCATCAACTTAAATCATCTCTATGAAGATACACACCTCAAACTCCGTATGTATAGGCCTAAACTATAAATTTGTTACATCCGTGCGACTGAGGTGAGTGAAGGAACTCAGGTAAATCCGTCAGGTAAGTGATGGCTTGTGAGTTTATGATTAGTGAATTGGTCAGTCTATCTGAGTGGGAATAAGGAACTTCCAGTTTTTTCATTTTGGTTAGTTTAAAACCTTGAAATAATGATCAAATGTCAAGCTTAAATTACAATACCTGGAAAGTGATCCAAGACTCTTGAATAGGTTACCGATTTACAAGTAAATGCTAAGGCCGGCTTCGATCAGTGCCACACATCCACTTGCTTTGTTGTTTTGGCTTAAATTTGTTTACTTGTTTTTCGTGTGTGTATGTGTCTCAATGTTTTTAAAACCTGACGATCTTGGAACAAAGGATAAATGATATTCGTCTAAAGAAGACGTAAATCAAAATTGGTAACCTATTTAAGGATTTTGGATCACTTGGCAGATAAGGTACAACTTCAAGTATAAACTTGTTTACACAACCATCAATGACACGACAACCTCGATTAAAAGTGCACTTTTCAAATCCCCTTGAAAAAGACATAACACTTCATGTTAAACTAACCTCTACAATACTAGTATTTCTATTCAAACAACCTCAATAAGACACCTTTTATCTACATCACGAGGCAACTCAGTCTCAGAACCTCTATGTTAAGTCGTTTTGAGAAGTCAATGTCGATAACACGACCCTACATAACTCTATGAAACAGTTCTCATGGGAATTTGCAGGACAGATGTTTTGGACAACGTCATTTTAGACTAGAACGAGTGAAATCCCAACTCCATGCGCACCCGCTCCCATTTTTCAGAACATCATTTTATCTTTCACAGATCAGTAGCCTTGGATTATAACATTATTCTGGCTCATGTCAAACATAATTCTTAGACGATAGTGCCTTGAGTAAGTGCAAACAAACAAAAATCAATGACGTTTTTGTGTAGTAATGTATGTACTGGACAATTACACAAAAATTAAACAGTAATGTTTTTGATTATATTTACATTTCCTTTAAAAACATATCTCAATTTGTTACACAATATTAACAATAGGTACTGCACTATAAGTTATAATTTGTAAAAAAAAATGTGTTTTAGTACAAGTCCTGAAATACACTCATTATAAAGATGTTCGGTGCTTTCAATAACCTGGATTACACGACTACTGGCCAAAATGACCTTTATAACACGATCCTCAACAAAAAGTGGACCTCGATAACTATTTTCCTAACCACCTTGAAGCTCTTCCTATCGAGATTCTTCTATAATTTAAACCAGTTGTCATTCCAGATTTTGTTGGATATGATTGAGCTTCTTGATTATTTTCAATAATTCATGGTTCAATATTTAACCTCATTGTTACTAGGATGTTTGTAACACACTTAACTCACATTTCAGAAATGTTATACCATACCATATGAATAAAGAACTGACAGAATGCAAAGTAACAAAACGAACTGTGAAGCACATCAACAAAATGAGAAGCAACACTTGCATTGTTGGAAGCCTCATCATACACACTGTCACATTATATTGTTATGCAGAGTATTCACAAATTTCCTCACACTTGTCAGTTAATGACTTAGCTACAAAAGTTCACCTTGTAAATTCTTACTTTAACCCTACCACTAATTTACATTTTGAATTTAGGTTATTGAACGTTTGATACAACTTATTACAACACGGCGGCGGGTACATACAGGTATGTCCAGACCTACACCCTGTACCCGCCGTATTATATTTTCTCCGGAGAAAATTTTAAATATGGGAAATTTAAAATTTTTATGCTATACTTATGGAGAATAAGTAAACTATTGTAGTTTGCTTGTTTATGGATACATATTCATCAAACTTGGCAAATTATATTATATTATACCAAGCCATTAACATTTTACTAAAAAACACACTTATTACCCTTCTTGTAGCGGCAAACCTAGTTACTTGTTAAACCTAATGTTATTTAAATAGATTTAATTTAAAATCCCAGGTAAATGTAAATTAGCTTAGTCTGCAGTTTTGTTGCGGCGGGGTTATTTCAAACTGTATTTCTCTGTACATGTATATGTGTGTATGTGTAACATGCACCACCTGTTTGCTAGATCCATTATAAACTTCATCTTATAATCGGGCTTACCTAAATTTATTATAACCTTAAATTTTCCAGTGATATTTGAACATAGAATATTATTCATTCAAATCAAGGACTGAAACTATGACGCAATTTTCGCAGCTCAGCTATCCTAGATCCCATGAATGATATCTGATATCGTCAAATGTACAAGCAAAATGTTGAATCAATGTTGAATTTGAAAAATAAAATAGTAGTTTAAGAGATAGAAGCTGAATAGGTAAAATGGACTGTTTTGCCATGAAGTGAATGTGCCTTTAGAAAGGAAAAAAGTACATTCATCCATTGAGTAACTAGATAATCAAGCTCTGATCAAGATGAAAAGTGAGAAAACAACCTTATTGTCGTTTCCCTGCCATAAGGGTTAGGGTTAATGATTTAAAAAATTAAATATAATGTATAGGCTAATATGTTGGCCCAGGGCAAAAATTATTGTTAGGTGTGCAAAGGGCACCTCTGAGGAGTATATGCTCTGCACATTCATTTTTAGATTAGGAGGTCCTTTAATGAGAGTTTACAGAACACTTGCAAAAGTTTATATTATATCACTTTACTATAAATAACGTATTGTTACAATAATAATTTCTTTAGTTATTGTATGCTTGGTTTACTGCTATTATATCTCAATCCTGGTTTGGAGTAAAATTTCGATAACTTCTTGATCAGCATTGTACGTGTTATTATATTTACCGAAAATGGGTCTGATGATGATTGGAGTGTCCAATCAAAATCGATTACCACTTACCATCTTTTTTGTATATTTACCGTCTTGTGAGTAACAGTATAAGAGCGTAAATATATGTTTTAAGTGTTATAAGACGTATCTTTCATTTACTTTCCATAAAATTTACACTAAAGATATTGTAAAAGTATAAAAATAAACTGACCTGAAGACTTTTTAAGGGAGTTCTGAGAGCGTTGCAGAGTGTCCTCAAAGTCTAGTACAGCTTTTTGTAGTTCGTCCTTCACAGGGCTAAGGTGAGAATCACCACTGTCTAGTACTGTTGCCTCTTCCTTCAGCGGTTCGTTCATAAACTGGAAAAATTTGTAGTGCAATTAACTATAGAAGAATCATATTTGTTAATCGCAGAGTAAAAAGTAGGAAGACAAGTCCACTCTCATATAATATAATTTAAAAATCATTGAAGGGATCAATACTATACTGATTGAAATTATAATCTCAAATTAAAAGGATAATTTCTCATTTCTTTAGCTTTTACCAAAATTCAAGGTAGTTGTCCGGATTAAGAGACTTCACTTTGAACTATTTGCAGAAATAGGTGGGAAAAAATTATTTTGGTCATACATTTATGTCAAATACATACATATGCATCTGATACATATGTTAATGTTGTATTGTATATAAAATTAAAACATGTTCTGTGGATACGTTGATTACAATGACCCTAGATTCATAATTCAATGTGATTTTTAATCATTAACTATTTTTAATTGTATGGATAGTTCATTTTTCAGATTTAACTTTACTCAAAAATGCTATAGAATTATGTAGGTGAAGAATGGGTGAGTCCCTGCTCTTCAATTGTATGAGATAATCAATTGCTCATTGTTTGTAAAAAGGCTAAACATTTTGTATTGCTCTTGTAAACATTCTTTTTGCATGCTTAATGCTACAATATAATTGGAATTTGCTGTTTTGTAACATTGTAAAATCAAATAAAAAAAAATAAATAAAATGTAATATATATTTATAAATTACTTTTTCAAACGGACCAATGCAGGTTTTATGCAATATAGGTGGAATCCCCTGACCACTTTGGCTCTTAGAGAAGATTAAGATGCTTAATAAAGGTGATATTGATAAAGTAAATACAAAAAACCGGTATCCTACAGCTGTTAGTACCCATGAACCTACGGTTGATAGACTGATTAGAGAGGTGCTACAAAAGGCAAATATGTTAAAGTAGCCAGGGTACACCACCCACAACCTATACCACAACTCTCCCCAGAAAATAAGATGGAAAGCTACTTAAGTATGGTTTGATGAGAAATGTACCTGCGGCATGTCTCTGTCAGAACTCCATGTGGGAGGGCTGTTGAGACCCAACAACACTTCCATAGACTTGCGCTGGCGTCGGCGCTCCTTGCGGCGCTGCTTGCTGGCTGCGTCCCCACTGACTCCTTGCGCCAAGGTCTCGCAGAAACGCACAAAGTCCAAGTCAATGTGGTAGCCATAAGGACAGCACTCGCACGGTGGATATCTACTTTTGCGCTTGCTGCTCTTCGACAGGCTGCCTCCCCAGTCGTCTCCAGACTTGTGCCAAGACAAGCCTTTAAACACAAAAAACATACATCAGTTTTCTGGAAGAAAAGTCTGGCTTGGGAACATATGAAGGAAGAGGGAATGGATAAACAATCGACTTTACCAAGAAAAGAGTTCCAGACAATTGAAAGCACACAATCAGTTTACAACAAAATTAGTTGGACATTCCATCTCAAAAATGGGGCTTCTTCAGTAGTAGGAGTATAATGATTTTATTTGCATTTTCTAATTATGTTTTTCTACCTCCCTTGTGGGGGGGAAATATCAAATTGTTATTGTTAGTATGAAGTTTCAACTGCCTGAAACTCTTTTCTTGGATAAGTTAGTTGTATCCTTACACCTTATAACAGACGTCATTGATTTATGTTTTGTGTATGACTAGTACATAATGTTTATAATGGAATATTGGAGTTTTAATGTGTTTGATAGCTACGTCAAACCTACAACGTGTTGATACGTTGTACAACATGTGTACGTGTTGATACGTCAAACCTACAATTATATATAGTACACACAACATGACATAGTAACTCAAATAGTTTTGTTTGTTGGTATTACCAATTAGTAGAGACAAATCAAGTTGAGCGCAACCCAAGTTCAAGATCAAGTTGATCTCAAATTAATTTGAGATGGAATGCTCAAATGCTATTGTGATTTCAACCTTTAGGGCTTCATGAAGAATACAAACCACTTCACAGTATAGAAACAATAAGAAATACTAACCATTGGTGATGGGAAGGGGCAGTGTGGCATTCATCGTGGAAGACATCTTGTCTTCTATGTCTTCGATGACCTAGAACATGATGAAACTTGTCACATAACTTACAAAGTAACATAAAAATACGTTTAACAAGTCAAGCCAGCTTTTCTGCCATAACTGTTGTGTTGTTGTATACATGACTTAAAAATTAAAATAATACAAGCCCGATGAAAGAGGTTTATGTTTAGTATTTCCTGACAAAGATAAATTAAAAATTAAGGATTTTTCTTATGAAAGCTTAACAAATTCAACCTTCTGCAACCAATAAAAAGACAAAATTAAGATGATTAGATTAAGCAAACAACTAAGAATGTATATTTGTTTTAACCACTAACAGTTGTTTATTTCGTCAAATCTATTGCTACTTAATCAGAATGTTACTTAACTTAACAAACCTGCGTTAAAGGGATTTTGAGAAAAGTCAGCGTTTATAGCATAGGGTGTTGAACAGCACCATTTCGTTAATGATGGCCCAAAATGGGAATGTCATCATAGCGTAGGTGGAAAGAGAAAAAAAAAATATAACGTGCATTATTTAATTTTGCAAGTTTGCCTGAAACGTTAGCTGCACATTATAATAATCCTAATCAATAATCTAAATATTTACACTGAAAAGAAGTTTGAATCTTAAAAATACAATTATAGGAGGGTTATGAAACTAAGTTGAGTTTGTCAGGAGTAAAATCTAGAACTGATTATTATAAATACACTTTGCACTAATTATGGCTTTTAACTCGCCTAGAACGAAAAAGAAATCAGTCAGTTAGAGGTAAAATACAGATTAGAGTAGATATGGTAGTACGATTTATTAAAAAACCATGTCCAATTGGTGTCCGGAAAGATGGGGACGAGGAAACTTAGGGACACGGAAACTTAGGGACAAATCGGGTTTTGAGCCGAGGGGGAGGCAAACAGAGGCTGACTAAGCTCTGAGAACGACTCTTTAAATCGACTAGTTCTCTATTGTTATTGTACCTAGGTCTAGTTGTAACTACGACTTGTTGTATTTATATCTAGTTGTATCTCCCCTTAAATTTTTCACCTTGTTTAAATGGTTACCTTTGTAGTGCTTAGGGGCAACAGATTTAGTACATTGAAGTGTTTTTGAAGGGTTATTTTACTAATCACGGATTAAACTCGAATTGTAAATGATTATTCAAGCATACATTTTTTAAACCAGAAATACACTTGAATATTTCCAAAACAATAGCTTCAACTTCGTGATGATGTTAAAGCCTCCAATTTATGTTATACGACCGTGAACATGGGCGAATTTATCTCGTTTGTTTTATAATTTAGGTCTAATTTATTCCTTCGTCAGTGTATACTGATTGAAATATTTATATACAAAATAAATATTGAATAGTGTGAAAAAAGATTGAAGACAACAAACAAAGAAAAGTAACAAAGGGTAGTTTAGCAAAAATTGTAAACAAGCGACGTTTTGCAGACGAGGTATATAAAAATCTGTAGGTTTATATAAAGTTTTATTTTAAAAGTGTTACAAACGAAAAAATTGTAACAATTGTAACGAACGTACGTAATTATATTTCAAAAAATACATTGGGCTATTTTCACCAATTTAGTGAATATAAGAAAAAAAGAGTTTAATCCTGTGGCGGATCCAGCCAAGGATCCCTTGGCCAGAAATTCTTTAACTATCGGGTAATATAATGTAACACATTTCGCTTTATTTTTACAAAACCTTGTAAACCGATTTGAACAACTTAAAAATAATCACTAAATTTTCGTTGAAAATATATGTCAAAATATTCAATCTTGATCATGCAGTCCTGTAATTTTCCCAGAGTAGACCGCGTAAAATATTGTCTTCTTAAGCGTTTCCGACAAAAATGACAGCGGATCAGAAATTCAAAGAAAAAATGTTCATCAGACATGAAAGTAACCAAATACACCATGATCCGACGCAATGTGCAAACAAAAATACAATTTATTTCATAACGTTTATCGTAGGCCTACACAATCACAAAAATATTTGAATTTTAAACTAATTACGTCAGCATATCTTAACAATGTGTCATTATATTATATTCAGTAATATGGTTGCATAGAATGCGTTTATATTTTCTGTAATATATATTTAACTAACCCAAAATGTGTAAACAAGAATCTAGCAAACCTAGGCGATTAGGCGGATCAATCGGTACTTGACTGACTTTTAACATTAACTGTTAAAAATGGCTGGTTTAGGTACTGTTTGGAAATATTCAAATTATGATTTTGAAGTCAAATCCTGTTACTGTAGCTCTCTGTCAACTGAAACAGGAGAACGATTCGTTCTAAAAGAGTCGTTTCAGAGTGTAGTTCAGCTAATCTCTCCTTCCCCCCCGGTCGAACCCCTATTTGGCCCTAACTTTCCGTGTCCCTAACTTTCCTTGTCCCCATCTTTCCTAAACTCGTCCAATTATACTCACAACGGTTCACTTCACACAATCAACGTCCCTCTTGATCTAAGGTATCTAACTTAGTTTTTCCTTTTGGATGTTTGTGGAGAATACCTTCAAGTTTCTTGCAAACATTTCTACAAGAGTTCAACCCAATGAAATAACCACTTTAATAATCCAATTGAGATGTGACAGAAATAAACTGTTAGGATTTTAACACCATGCCGGATCTAATCGGTCAAAGGGAGAAAATATTTTCCTATTTTTGGTATACAAAAGCCAAAATCCTGTAATTGGTTAACCCATTTCAAACCAAGCTTTCAAAGCTGTTATAGTAGTTTACGCAACGGATTGCGTAAAGATAGTGTTAACCACAAGTAGAAAATTTAAGGTACGAGCCTTGGCGAGTGCCTTAAAGACTTCTATGAGTGTCGTTAACACTATTTACGCGAGTTGCGTACACTATTTTACCTACGATAGTGTTTTAATTACTAAAAATCACTACTCATAACTTATAAGAGAGGTTATGTTTTCGTTTATAACCTCTCATTGTCACTGACAGTGATGTAACAAAACATTGTATCAAACACTAATTGCACCAATAAACAATTAAATTGGCCTAAACAGCTGATTAGTTGAATTTCGAATCATTACAATTTTACTTTTCCTCTCTCAATCCTTGAACCTCATTGGTCCGTTACCAGTGTTGTTATGAGTAAAACTATGCTGTTATGAAAGTAAACAATGCTGTTATGAGATACTTTTCAATTCTAAGAACTGTACTGAAACGGCTACTTTAAAAAACTGTCGTAGGTAAAATCCTTTATAAAACACTTTGTTTTTGGAGTGAAATTATTGACAAGGGATAAGGAAGTATAATGTTAGTTATTTCGTTAGTTATGTTATATGATGGCATATAACTTATCTTACATAAATACAGTAAAACTAAACGAAATAAGGAGGTGATGCCGTATCGAATGATCTAACTATTTTTTTCAATTAAGCAATGGTTTGAGTTTAAAGGTTATTTCGGTTCAATATCTACAGTCGTGTCTTGCGCTGCTGTAATTATTGCCATCAAACTTTAAAACACTATGTACGAAGCCTTTTTTCTTAAAATAATCGACAAATTGTTTGCTGACTTGTTTTCAAAGCAGCGGTCACCATACGACATTTCCCGTTGCCTAGCTGTTCTTCCAATTAGGCAAATTTTGATTTTTATTATTTTTTTTTCGGTTTAACGGAGTGTAGTCAAAAGGTGTTTACTGTACTAGTAAAGGACAGGTAACATACAGCTATAGTACACTGATAACCGGATGTACACAACTGCACAGTTTGATCGTACATATGTGGTGGCGTTAATTTCGGATGTTTTGTTGTGACGGTGTCGTATGTTTATTTATAGAGATGAGCCCGCCGCGCCGTCTGCTGTCACACGGATCATGGATTTCCTTCCGGTTGTCTTGGTGGCCGCTCGTGGTTAAAATTAACAGCTGTAAATTCGAGAGATAAAAGACCGACATGGCATTAGAGATCTAAGATCATCTCGCAGTGAAATCTACCACAGAACAAATTTGTGGTACACAGATGAGATGAGGTGCACACGATATCGAGCTTGATGTAGATTATGTATAATATAATTAACCTACAAACGACCTAATTCACTCATTGGTTGTTCAATATATCCTTTAAAAATAACGTCTCCAAAGTGTATTTACAAAATTTTATATCTTGCCCCTTTAAGTGTCTTCATCAGTGGTAGCCATATTGGATTTTAGTCGCCTAAGAGCAACGTTAAATTTGACAGAACATACCATTTGAAGCGGCATGCCGGTGTTATTTATAAATATGTAGTTTTGAAAATGTATATTAAGGTTTATAACATAGAGTATTAGGGAATGAGGAAATGATATTTCAAATATTTGCTTTTGCCTTTTCTTAATAAATTATTTAATTAAAGGCTTAATTAATGATTATTAACTTATTAAGTGGAGGAAAAATTACAAAACTAAAATCCTCACTCCCTAGAGGACCACTAAACCTTAGTTTTAACACCTCAATCATTATTTTATCACAACTGGTTTTTTAGAAATCCTGTTACAAAGTTAACATTGCTGTTATGGGACTAAAATCCAATAAGGCTACCACTGATGAAGACTATTAAGTTCTGAGATATTTACTTAGCACTGAACGTTTGTGACACTGAACCCACGTTAAATATTGTTATTTACTACCTATTAAACAATATGTTTCTTTCACCATATTGGAGTCGTTGTAAGCATCGAGACATTATTTTCCTCTAATCGACCTCAATATTCTTTAAAAAGTAGAATTGCAAATTTGGAAGCACTAGCCCAAAGCCAAAGAGAAAATACACAGTTTGATCAAATACTTATTTCTCGAACCATGGTGCCTGTTACCGGCACGTATTTCCTTCTATCCAACTCGATTGACTATCTTGGCTAATCAAAACGTCATTCTACGTAAAATATCACCCCACATGTTTCACTGCGAGCTAGATTTTCAATCTTCTTGTTAAAATATATAAAATACATCAATAGTTTTCCTGACTGTTTGGAAACGAATATCCTATCGAAAGAATGTTTTGAGTTATTTTTCAGTTTTCCA